TTTTGATATAGGGGTCGGAATAGAATTACGGGGGTTGCAGTAGTTCTGTTGTGTCATTTGGGATGTGTGTACAAAATTTTAGGCCATTCGGACGTGGTTTGGTAGACTTTTTGATCGAAAGCGGAATTTAGAAGATTTTGGAATTTTTAGGCTTGAATCCGATGCGAATTTGGTGTTTTGATGTTGTTTTGAGCGTTCCGAAGGTTGGAACAAGTTTGAATGATGTTATGGTATATGTTGGCATGTTTGGTTAAGGTCCCGGGAGGCTTTGAGTGAGTTTCAGGTGGTTAAACGAACCATTTCAAGTTATTGGAAGTTGTAGAAACTACTATATGTGTGTTGCAGACATTTAGCCTTCGCGTTCGTGAGTGGGACCTCGCCTTCGCGAAGGGTTAGGCTGGGAGGCTGTGAAGTTGGCCTTCGCATTCGCGAAGGAGGTCCTGCGATCGCGAAGGGTTGAGGCTCGAGGTCATTGCGTTCGCGGGGTTATGCCGCATTCGCATAGAGGAAATTGAGTAGCTGGGTTTAGGTTGGTTTGTTCTTCGCGTTCGCGGATGGGGTGTCGCATTCACGGTGAGTAAGGGAGATAAGTCTTCGAGTTCGTGAGCTGGGAGTCGCGATCACGATGAAGGAAATTTTGGTCAACGTCAGTTTGTGCTTCGCGAATACGAGGCTTTGACCGCGTTCGCGAAGAAGGATTTGAATGCCTGGACATAATGTTTAAATAGCCATTGTCCGCGATTTTGGGGCTAACTTTCACCATTTTTGGGCGATTTTGAAGCTTTTTGAAGAGGATTGAAGAGTGATTCGAGGGGGAATACTTGGAGGTAAGATTTATGGACTTAATACTCGATTCTAATGTGAATTCTACCTAATTAATCATGGAATTTAAGCCTAATATTGAAGAACTAGGGCTTGTAATTGGAGACCTAGAATTTGGGATTTGAGAGGTCGTTTGTGGTTGGATTTTAATGCTTTTGATACGAATGAACTCGGGGAATCATAAGGAGTCTATTGATGTAAATTTTATCGAAATCCGAGATGTGGGTCCGGGAGTCGAGTTTGGTCAATTTCGGGATTTGTGTTGTAATTTGATTTCTTTCGAGTAGGCTTTGTTCTCTTAGCATATTTTGATGGTATTGCATTGATTCTGGTTAGATTTGGAGCATCCGTAGGTCGATTCGAGAGGCAAAGGCATCGCGGGCTAGAGGTGACGCACACGCTTGATGGCGATCGTGGAGTCGTGCACCGTTGGGGATTGTGACTTAGTCCATCCCGAATGACTGTTTTATCGCGTATTTGATTGAAAACTATTTGCTATCATCATATTTTGGGTTGAATGTCATATTTGGGCCTCGTGCCAACTATTTGGACCCTTAGGGAATTTTTACTGCTATTTCCTCACTGTTTTGATTTTATATTTGTACCCAGTCATGCTATATTATACTATTTTCATAACTCAACCATGTTTACTCTGTTTTAATACTTTAAATGATATTTTGAGCTGAGCATCATATTTTACTGTGCCCGAGTGGCTTTTAGAGATTTCTGACTGAGTAAGGCCGATGACCTATGTTGTGAGGATACTTTTGGGTCGGGCTACACGCCGCAACAGTGATACACTGATTTATGATTATGAGGCCGAGGGCCTGAGATTGTACGTCATGAGGTGTCTTGTAGATATGAGACCAAGGGCCTATTGATTATGCCACGAGATGGCTTGATATTGCGCTGGGCCGTAAAGGGCCCCTTCCGGAGTCTGTACACCCCAGTAAGCGTGGGTACCCATTGTGATATGAGATATAACCCGAGGGCCTGGTGTTGTTCTTTGATATTTCCCGAAGGGCGGATTCTATTGACATTGTGCCCGAGGGGTGGATTTTTATGTGTTTATTTGTTCTAGATGCTTTTCATTTAATTGTTTAATTGTTAAAAAGGTATTTTAAAGAAGCTTTTTCTGAACTAAGGTGCCTTTATATGTTTTCACTGTTTCATTGTTTTTATTGGTTTTATATTGCTTCTTTATATCATGTTGATGTACTTTTACGTAATTTCTTATCGCTCAGTCCTCATTTATTATTATTACTCACTGAGTTGGAGTACTCACTTTACTCCCTACACCTTGTGTGCAGATTCAGGTGCTTCAAGTCCCGCTAGGGAGTGTTGATTCTTTCAGCTCAGGCGGATTCGGAGATTCACTAGGTAGTTGTTCGGCGCTCGCAGCCCAGTGCCTCTTCCCCTATCTTATATTCTTTTGTTTTAGTTCTGTAACAGACTATGTAGATTTTTCCTGTCTTTAATCGGATAGTAGATACTTATAACTGGTGACACCCCAATTCGGGCTATGTCTATTCTACAAATTGTCTTATTGACCTTTACTTTGGGGTTATTATTATGCTAAAGACTTAATTTGTATTATTTTAACTGCTTAAAATGAATTGAGTGTGTATCGGTTGGCCTTGTCTTCACAAGAGGCTCCATCACGACCGGGTCCGGGTTTAGGGTCGTGACAGAAATGGAGATACTGTATTCCAAATCGAAATCCCGCACTGTTATACATAGCGGATACATTCCTAAGCTTTTATTTTCTTTTTTCGTCTCCATGTATATTCAAACTCCCATATTGTTCCTAATTTTCATTGGCATACAATGCTCGTTGACAATGTATTTGATTTCGATTATTTTTTCTGATGTATCGATCATTTGATGCTCTGCGATTGTAGAAATCAATTGGCTATAACTTGCATCTTTGCTTATTACAATTCTGTTGATATGAAAATCCCTGTGTCTCCCAAAGCTATCCCAAAAACCATTTAGCTGAAGCATAATAGCTATTTTTGATATTATTGCGCGTGATTCAGTACAATTGTAGATAATTGATTCGATTTTGCTTGTGTAACCAGAATATACAGTGAAAAACAGAGTATTTGAAAAATAGAGTATCGAAATTGTGAGAGAAACGGAATAATTTCAGGCTTAATTAATGGCGACTAATGCGTTGCAAAAAATCTCGGTAGAATCCTTTGCTATCCTAAATTATCGCTCCTAAAAATGGAATGTTACAACAGAAAGGATTCTTTTTAAATGATTTGTATAGATTTTTAGGAAAAACGTATCCAGGGCGGGTAATATTATAAACAAGGACATTTTTTGTAATAAAGTTTCATATAGTTTATAAGAATGAAATTTTCCCTTAAATAATAGCCTTTGCCAGAATTTTGAAGCATGCTCGTTAGAGTATTTTGGGCAAGCTCCTGACAAACGCTTGAATTTTTATATTTGATTTGGCAAAAATTTTCTTCACTAAAAGTTATGGTAATTGTCATAAAATTTTTATGGTTACTACAACTTTTTTGCAATTAGGCACAAAAATCTGATGGTTACCATAGTGGGGGTGCAAAAATCATGGCAAATATATAATTAGGCACAAAAATTTGACTGTTGCCATAACTATTCTGCAAGTTTTATCACCATGTTTTGCTTCAAAATTGGCCTAATATCAATGTCAAATGACTTCAATTTGATATACAATTTTCTAATACCAATCTTAATATGTTACAATAGTTAGATTCTAACTTAAATCTTCAAAAATCAATAGACTCATTTTGTCTTCTTCGACGAGTTTTTTTCAAGCTCAAACAAAATTCTAAATTATTTTTCAATTTTCTCCCATCAAACCAATCCAAATCATTAAAGACAACATAAGCTCAACAGATCATTACCCACTCAATTTTAACCATAATGCCATATATTTATTATGTTTTAATTTTAATTATGTGCTCATAATTTATTGAAAGAAGAAGAAGGAAAGGAAGAAAGGAGGAGAGGAAGAAGAAGATGCAGGAGAAGGAGGAGAAAATAAAAAGTTTGATGAAAGGCTAAAAAGCTAAGATTTCTTAAATAAGGTCAAAATATAAACGGTGGTCTTTAAAGAAATGTGATTTTTTGTTTAAAAAAAAAGAAGAATTCACCCAAATAGCTGATCATCCAACCACTTAAACTAAAAAAATTCATTGAATATATAATATATGCCTAATATATGTATTACATGTATATAATTATGTAAAATCAATGTATAATATATATATATATATATATATATATATATATATGACTAGAAAAAGCAAATAATGAATATAACCGGCTATTTATGTAAAGATCACATGGTCCAAATATCAAGAATCAAATGGATGGGCCAAAGTTAAGCTGCAATTGCACACGTAGAGAGGAATCCGTCCAAAAAGTAAAAATAACACGGTATAGCCAATTTTTGGACTGGTCATTCAAAAATAGCCAGTGTTTACTAAGTCAATGAAAAATAGTCACTATTTTGCTGCAACAGAGACCGGTCCAGCATAATATACTGGAGTTCGGTGCACATGTGTATGAACTCCAGCATATTATGCTGGACCAGTATACTTGCTGGAACTCCAGTATATTATGCTGGAGTTCTAGTGTACTTATGCTCAGTGGCGGACCCAGTATTTTGTGCAAGCGGGTTCAGTCGGAGAAGTCCATAACTAACATAAGCTGTATAAACGGGTTCAAAAATAATTTCTATACAAAATTTACCTTGCTTTAGCCATAATTTATACATATATATAGTATTATTTTTTGCCGAAGTGGGTTCAGTTGAACCCACTTCTCACCACTTGGGTCCGCCCCTGCTTATGCTGGAACTCCATCATATTATGCTGGAGTTCCAACATACTTATCCTGGAACTCCAGTATAATATGCTGGAGTTCAAGTATCCTTATGCTGGAACTCCAGCATAATATACTGGTGTATTTTCTAGATTTTTAACAATATTTTCACTCAGATTTATCTTTACATAAAAAATGACTAATTTTCGATTACTTTTGAAATCTGGCTATTTTTAAACGACCAGTTCTAAATCTGTCTATTTTTTAATTTCACTCGTCCAAACATGTGAGAACCCAAGCCCAAAACATCACCAAAAGTCAAAACCCAGACATCAGAGGTTTTGTCAACGTATTTTTCATAGTAAACAACGACATATATACTAGGAAATACAACAGAAATGTGTTGATCGGAAGAATCAAAGTGATGGCGTCGCATTTATCAGTATCGCTATCAACGTCTTCATCAGAGACCTCAATCTTCCCGTCAACTAATCGGAAACTCGCTGTATTACCAACAGCTGTCCGTACTTTTCCGGTAAACTTTGAATCCATTTTCTTATATTTTTCCTGGTGAACCAAATTGAGCTATATGGTGCTCTCTATTTCCTCCTTTTATAATTTTTCAATTTATGAAGAAGTATATGAAATTTACTAGAAAAAGTAAGTTATTTCAGACTGCACGAAGAAAATTGGTGTTCATAGACTGAAGAATGTTGTAATTTCAGTGATATAACAGGTGACTGTCGTTCCTTGGGGGACAACCGATAAAATTGGAACGATGCAGAGAATAAGTTACTAATCATTTATTCTAGTTTCGAATTTGAGTGCTAGTGTGTTTATGTAAAAAAATGTAAAAGAATTCAGAGGGGAAGAATGCTACGTGTATCTATGTGCCTTTACTTAAGAGTGAGTTCATCTGTATGTGTATATACGCGCGCGTGTGTGTGTTGTATGTTTGTTGTTTAGTCTTAGATGAGAAATTTTGTATGTTTGTACGATCTTAGTTTCTACGGTCGCACTGATAAAAAGAACTTTTTTTGGGCTTAAATATGTGAAGGAAGACATCTAAATGTACCTTGATTATGATATACTGAACCGATGATCTATGTTACATTGTATGCCTTGTCATTTCCATGTCAAACAAGTATAGCATAAGTATTGGTAATTTGTGAACCCTTCAATGTATACTTCTAGATATTTTTAAACATGACCATACCCCGAGTCATTTGAGGTTGTCTTATAGGCTATGATCCAGAATTTCTTTTTCTTTTTCTTCCCTTTTTTTTTTCTTTTCGAAATTGCTAATCTATTTAGTTGTCCGTGTTTCAAGTGAGTATAGGGGCTATGTCATAATTTCTCAACTTCATATCAGTGATTCTATGTACAAATTACTAACTACTAGTATCTTTAGTTTTCTGCCATTAATATTCAAGTTCAGATGGATAAGCACAGAAATTCCCAGTTATTGAGATTCTGTCAACCATTTTACCACCTAGGATTGGTCGCATTTCTAGATGCCCCAATAAATGTGCTAAATTTGGTTGGAAGGAAGTTTTGACATAACACTAAACCTTTTCACGAAATATGTGATTTTTCATGTTTTGCACAATACACTAAGTGAAAGTTTTATATACACATTTTATATAATTAGTTATTTTAACCATGTTCTACTGCGGTCACAATCTAAATCACCTCTGGGCTCCTTTCAAGACGAGTTCACCAGAAAAGATAATGGTAAAAAACTAGAAAGACGTATAAATCCGTTCCCGAGATGTGTCAAAGCGGTATTAACATGCATTTCCTACATGCTACAGCACCAAACTGAAGTATCTCTACTTCCTGCATGCCCTGAATTCCTAAATATGTTTAGTCGGGTGAACTGGTTGACTAGATGAATCCAAACTGTTGGCAATATTTTCAGTTTGACTGATACTTCTTAGTAACTCTTTCATCTTTGAATCAGAAGAAACTGGTGAATCATGTTTTTAGCTTTGTCTTTTCGTAGCTCACTTTTCCTGCATTCTATAATAGTGTGGTTTAGTTGGGGAATTCATTGCATGCATCTTTTCTGGCCAATTCCATTGTGATGACAAATATTTGTCTGGAGACTGATATAGATTCTTTCAAAGGGACGGACAATAAAGAAAACCAGAACACAAATGATTAATGTGGCACATGTTCAACCTCCTGAAGTCAACAGACCGCATTGTTCCATAAGGTCTACATCTTTCAATGTAAAAGGAACTGGAAGCACTACTTCACTTGATGAAGAAGTTAAAGTTGATGCTTCTGGGATGGAGGTTTCCATAAAGTTGTCTTTATCCAGTACTGATGCAGAAACTGATGATTCAGCCTCTCTTAGCATTGCTGTTATTGGGGCCACTGGTTTACTAGCCAGAACGAAAATATTTCCAGCATTATTTGCGTTGTATTACAGTGGTCATCTACCAGAGGTAGGTACATTGGATCAACTACCATTCTGCTCCTTTTTGACATCTATGCATCTGTTGATATTTCTATCCTGTTCAGTCTCCATAATATTCATGTCTGATCTGAGTGGAGCATAATTTCTTCTTAAGTTTTGGTTGGTCGGTTAAGGGTTATAGATACAGTATGAAACTTATACCTGATAATCTGTTATGGTGCATCCTTATTTTTATAGAAGACACATTTCGTGTGCTCCCTTTCCTCATCTGAGTAGGAAATGAGTTGTTAATGAACCAGCTTGTTCAGAAAGTTTATGTTAGTTCAGATTTTATTTTTTGTCAATGTTTAATATGATTCCATACGAATATATAATTAACTGAATATGTTGTTAAACGATATAGCACTGACATCAAAATGCATGCTTCCTTTACTACTTATTAATTTAACATTATTATAATGTTACCCCATCTACTACTAAAAGCACATATCTTATTATATATTCTAAACAATGGAAAATATAATTTCTGTTGAACCTCACAAGTCACATTAATTGGTTGTATCAGATTATAAAATTTCTGAAATTAACTAAATGAAACTATCTTTGGTAGCTTGTATAATTTTTTTTAATTGAGATCAAACATACTAGCTTGATTAACATCTAGAAGAACCTTTTGAGGGGGAGGGGTGGTGCCATGCTTGTTACACTGAACTAGTTGAAGATGTATTAGGCTTTAGTTTTCTAGCAATTTGTGCCTTTAAGCTTTTGGCTACTGACGATAACACTTGTTACATTGCTTGTAATTTGGAGGCAATTTACAACTGTTAGGATTAGAGCAAGTTTCATGTCAGAAGAGTGGACTGTGCCTGACCAAGTGCAATTGTAGAATGTGAAGTATGAGATGAATTGTGGGGCTTGACAAGGAGTCAGGGCTTCCACAACTGAAGAGAACTGACCACATCATGAAGTTATGATATGGATTTGTACTTTTAACTTGAAGTATATTATGGTTGGTACTTCCTTGTTCTGTTAGAATCATTTGAAGTAGATTCAGGCAAGAACAATTGATGCTCTAAAAATCTGAAACTTTTTGGATAAAATATTAACAAGGTAGTCGAATAAAAAGATCAAGCTAATAGATTGAATGAGAATATTTGAAGTATCTTGCTAGTTACATCTGCTTGAATTTTTTTTTAATCTAAAGAAGCATACCACTGGAAAGTAATATACAGATAAGGTTAACCTTCTAGGCTTACTGGCTTTTTGATGGCTGCAGAAATTTGGTATATTTGGGTACTCGAGGAAAAATTTGACAGAAGATCATCTGAGAGCCATAATAGCACCAACTTTAAGTTGCCGCATTGATCACCAGTATGTTCCTCAACTTCCAAATGCATATATAAACATGTATCTTCGTCTTAGATATTTACCACGTCTATCTATCTATTTATATCATTTGAAACTTTAGAAATATGCACACACGCTCACACACTGATTCTATTCTAGATTTTGAGGTTTTAACTAAAAAGATTCAGACTTTTGCACTTCAAAATTTTGAGATATGTTTGCTAGAGCATCTGGAAGGCTAGTGAAGGGGTTACTAGTGATTAGAGGAATAAATGTTTTCTGGAATGAAAATTGGCATATCTTTTGTATTTGATCTTTTAACATAAAAATTATTGAACAGAAACTCGTCTCTTTTTCCATATGTTAAAATAAAATTATTGCGTAAGATGATTTATTATAACTTTGTGTAATGTCTTTATGCAGAGAAAACTGTGAAGAAAAAATGGATGCATTTCTCAAAAGGATATTCTATCTTAATGGAGGGTATGACAACCGAGAAGGAATGTCAAATCTCAATACTCTCATGGAAGAAGCTGAGGTAAGTGCCACTGATGACTGTCCGTTTATACCTTAGAAGATTTACTTTTATGCGCTTAAGTGCTCGTTGTGTCCAATTTTATGCTATTGCTATTCCTGTCTTTTTAACAGCTCGTGTACCTTAGGGAAAGTTTGGAGCAAACAGAATATTTTACCTTTCTGTGCCTCAAGAAGCACTTATCGACGTAGCATCCTCTCTTGCTGAAATGGCCCAAACGCAGAGGGGTTGGAATCGTGTAATAATTGAAAAACCCTTTGGTCTGGGTTTGTTTTCTTCTCATCAGTTGACTACCTCGCTTCTTTCAGACTTTGAGGAAAAGCAATTATACAGGTTCGAACCGCATTCTGTGATAATTGTGAGACAAGAAGACTTTGCATTCTGAATTATTTACTGATCACTGTTTTACTTGCCTGTCATCCAGGATAGATCATCTTTTGGGAAGGAACACAATCGAAAATCTTGCGGTTCTAAGGTTCTCTAATCTAGTATTTATGCCATTATGGAATCGAAGTTACATACACAACATACAGGTAAGTTACTTAGGATAATTGACTCTCAATTCACCTTGGCGATAATGCAAGTAGTCTTAATTTATCATTGACCATGTTTTTCAGGTCACTTTTTCTGAAGAGTTAGGCATGCAGACCTCAGCAAGGTAGCCAAGGTTTCAGTAAACTTATGTAGGTTACAAGTATGTGGCCCTAATCCTCACCCTCTTCTTTTCCCTCCTTCACTTAATAGATATCCTAATGGCTATGGGATTTTAGGAGATGTTGTACACAGTCACATCTTCCAGACAGTCGCCTTGCTTGCTATGGAGCCGCCTGTCACCCTTGACGGTGAAGATATTCGTTATGAGAAGGTATATAACCTCTATTCTCTGTATGTTACAACAAAAATTTCAATAATTCTTGTTGAAATTAGTGATAAGGCTTTACTCGCCAGGTTAAGGTTTTGAAATCAATACGAAAATTGGAATCATCTGATGTAATTCTTGGGCATTACGAAGCTGATTCTGGAAGTAACTTCAAGGATAAGGACAACCCAATGCCCACATATTTTGGTGCTGTTTTATACGTTGATAATGCACGGTGGGATAGTGTGCCTTTTCTTATTAACGCTGGCAGGGGGCTCAAAAAGAACAGGTGTGGCTACTGCTCCCTAGTTGAATATCTCTATTTAACTGTCAACTGTTTGAAATATCAGATCCTACTGCATAAACACAGAGGAGGTGTATCTTTTTACATTGTCTAAAAGTTTTGATGAATATCGGTATTGCGCATGCTGTTATGATAGTTTCTACATGTTCCATTCAAACTATTCATATCTGTCTCAGAATGTGAGAATTGATCCATGCTTGAGATTTGTTATCAAATGGGTCTCTGTTTTTCTTTTCCCCTAAATTATCCATAATGTTGTGTTGCAGAGTCGAAATTCGTATACAATTTCGTCGTGTTCCTGGAAACCTTTATAATAAAGATGGAGGGCATATGCAAAATCTTGCCACTAATGAGCTAATTCTGCGTGATGTGCCTGATGAGGCCATACTCGTCAGAATCAACAATAAAATTCCAGGATTAGGCATGAACTTGGAGGCTTCTGAGTTGAACTTACTTTATAAGGACAAGTAATGTTTTCTGTTTTCTTATTTTAATAGCTTTAATAGGATCTCCATTTCCGTGTTTTTTATGGTTTCCCTTGGTTTGATGCATTAGGTACAACGTTGAGATAACCGATTCTTATGAGCAACTTCTTCACGATGTAATAGATGGAGACAACCATTTATTCATGAGAAGTGATGAGGTTGAAGCTGCGTGGAACATTTTATCTCCAGTTTTAAGTGAGTTGGACAACAACAATGTAACACTTGAACGATACAACTTCGGTAGCAAAGGTCCAGATAAAGCTGTTAATCTCTGGGCTAAACATGGGGTCCAATGGTTGGATGATTAGCAAATTTCCTATCAAACCATCATACAAACATTGAAATTCATAAAGAAGGAACTATTAGGAGTCCACTCTCTCCATACTTGGTCTTCATGGTCATTGATTGAGATGGAATNCCAACCTCACCCCCACCTTTTTTTTTACTTGTTTCTGTCATGTGTATATGACATTGATACTAGAATTTGAAAGTTGGATAGGCATTGTTGGCACCATTTGTTGTTTTGGTTTCTGTTTAATTGATGAGGTAATGTGAAGCTGGTGGCATAGTGACATTGGTGAACCAACCATTTTGCTGATTGCCTCCCATCTTCAGCTCTTTGACGGTGGATATTTGCTTTTGTTTAAACTTGTCATCGATATATTTGGTTGTTAATCTAGTCAAAAAATCATTTTACTATAGGAATTGATCATTTCTAGGAAGTCGATATGAAAATAAAGGATTAAATCTGAAGAATAGAATGAAATGACTATGGAAATATTCTCAAGAACCACAAACTTTATGGAGCAAAGTGATCAAAGCTAGGTACGGTGAGGAAAATAACTGGATATCAAACAAAGTCAGCACATCATCAGTTAAATTCGAAATTGAAAGGAAATTTTTTATTCTTCTCCTTGATAACATAAATAGCCTTCGCATTGAAGTCCCAACAACTACCCTAGGGAAGGAGCTGCTAACAACAGACATAAATATAAGCCACCGAAACTTTTATAAGCCTTCCCTTTACTCTCTCCTCTTTCCAAAAGCACAAGAAAAAAAAAAGGTATTAAAAAACAAAAGTTAAATTAACGTAATACCGTTGTGTTTCAATTTAGCTGTTCACTTTTAACTTGACATAACGATTAAGAAAAACATTAGAAAAAAATCAGTTGTTTAGCATATCTTTGGAATTGGAATATATGTGGCGTGGGAAGTGGGAACACATCTCGACTTTTTGTCTGTTGAAATTGACTACATTAATTGAAAATTTTGAACTGACAATAGTGAATAGCTAATAAAACTTTTATGTTACAATAAGAGCGCGTTTGGACATAAACAAATTTTTCCCTTTTCTTCAAAATCAACATTTGTTCATAAAATTTCTAATTTTTACTTGAAGATACATTTTAAAAATTTGAAAAACTCCAAAAAATTATTTTTTTATTTAAAATTTTTACTCAAATCACTCACAAAACTTCATAAACAATACAAAATTATATTCATGTCCAAACACAACTCTAAAATTTCAATTACCATTTTCACTCGAATTTTATTTTACCATATTTTAAAATTTTACAATTCTTATGTCCAAACGCCCACTAAATGTATAGCATTTGAAAAAGTTGTCGAGATATAGAATAAGTAGAAATAAGATTCAACTTGCGGTCTGTTTTTTAAGATTCTCGTACATCCAAAAAATATGTAATAACTTTCATAATAAAATTATATATTTAAACAATCATATATACTTTCTTAAATGTTTTAAATAGGTATATTATCAATTACAGCAGATTAAATATATGCCTTTTTGTTATAAAAATATTAAATATTTCAAAATAAATTTAATTTGTCAAAACAATCAAAATAATATTTAAGAATTTAGAGCGTAAGGTGAATTGCACAATACGACACATCACATGTCACGATATGGGCGTCGCATATATTCTGGTCGGTGTACTTTGACATAATGGCTGTCGTAGTTGATGATGCAATTCTCTAGATTTTTTGGTCTCACGAAATCACGTTGCAATTACAAAACTAACCATGGTTGTTAGAACACAAGCTAATTCAACAACTCCAATCAAAAGGTCATTTTGGACAACTTTGTTCAACAATTTGAGTACTGTATACTATTTTTTTTTCCTTCGCTTTCAGCATTAACTATGAAGCCCAACAAGTCAATTTAAATAGGAGTTGTTCACCAATAATCTTAACCTTTTTTGTTGGGTGAAATTCAAAAATAGCCACAGTTTTAAAAATTATCAAAATTTAGTCATTTTTCATGAACGAAAATAATGTTCAAAATCCGAAAAAATATTCCAGCATAATATACTGGAACTCTAGTATATTATACTGGATCCATGAAAGTATACCGGTCCAGCATAATATGCTGAAAGTTCATACACAGATTCACCGATCTTTATTGCAGCAAAATAGTGACTATTTTTCAATAACTTGGCAAACACTGACTATTTTTGAATGACCAGTCCGAAAACTAGCCGACTACTATTTTGACTTTTTTATCGTCTTTTATATTCTCTCTTTTTTGCCCTACGGACTAGGGAGAATGGTATTATGTAAAAAGAGTACTCAAAATTTTCAATGCTAAAAATGTGTTGCAATTGTAATCTTACTAGTGACTGTTTTTGAACTTTCTTACTTTGAACATATAATTTCTGCTTGATTCTATAGTATTTTTCTTTACTCCGTTTTCAGTAGGAATTATCTCCTACATATGACCAGTTGCAATTTAAATACAAGAAAATAACCACACAAGAATTTCCTATATTTATTTACTAACCTCTTGTGAAAAAAGACCATATGTATAGTAATTAAAAGAATCTTTTGTACAGACATAATACCGATCTTCCCTCTTTAAATTTAGTGCACAAAAGTAACAACTTCACAGAGAATTTTCTTCACTATTTTTTTCTTTGTNGTGGGGGAGGTAGTTGGGGGAGTGAGTAGTTTATTAATAAGGGCCAAGCCTTATCTTCCATATTTGTTTGTTGCCTAGCTTGGCCCCCTCTCTCATTATCAGAAAGGGATATTATGGATAGAGAGAGAAGGACAAAGAGGAAGAATATGGAGAATGAGAGATCAGTACAAGAAGAAGAAGAAGAAGAAGAAGAAGAAGATGAGGAAGAGAAAATGGAGAAGTTTTTTGCTCTAATTAGAAGCACCAAAGATGTACGTGACCGTTTGATTGCACGAAATCATGTACAAGTAGACACATCATCAAAGATTTTTGAAGACAATCACATTAACATTAAGTCTGCAAATACTAGTGCAGCTAATATTGGAGTTAATTGGAATCCACAAGATTTCATGGGAATTGACACTATTGCAACTGCAGGTCCTTCTACTTCTAATTCCAAGAAACAAGAAGAAGGAGGAGGAGGAGGAGGAGAAGAACAAATTGTAGGAAAAAAAGAAGAAGATTCAAAAGAAGGAAAAAATAATCATCATATGTTGGACCTTAATCTTTCACTCTAGTCATGTATTTTTGATATCTAAGTAATGTTAACTGTTCTTAATTCAGTGGTTAATGAACATTCTTTTTCTTACCTTTTTTTCTCTTTTTCTTTTCCTCTTACTAATTCTTAGGAGGGAAAGGGGAAATGAGGGATGCTACGTTACACATACTGTTGGCAAAGTGAATAAAAGAAAACAATTATCACCCATATTATACATTAAAATATGAGTCGGATAATGAACTATTTAAAAACGGATCAAATATGGATAAAAATCATATTATACATTTTACCAATGGATAACTAATGAGTTTAACTTTTACATATATAAAATATCAATTTGGAGGTTCGTCAAGTTTGAGAGTTAGGAATTCTCCCAAAATTTTTTATATTCAATAAGCCATGAATAATATGGTTATCCATATTATTCGCGGGTTTATCCATTTTTATCCCTATTAAATATAGGTCGGATTTGATAATTTATCCATTTTTGTATTCCCGTTTTCAATCTGTACCATATCCGATCCGATCCATCGGTTTGCCACCCCTAATTACACATAGTAGGGTTTGAACCCTACACCTCAATTATGGAAGACAGGGAGCTCTTCTAGTGAGTTAACCCTCAATCCCATAATTGAGTAATTGTTAAATAAGAATAAGAATTTTAAATTTTTGGATTTAGATTTCTGTTACTATACTCAATATGAGTATACAATTGTGCTTCACCTTTGATTAGCATGATTACCAGATATCTGTGCTTGTAAGCGTAAACTAACACGTAAATTCTAAGATTACTCAATGTATTTCGTTTCACTTTACATTATTTAATAGATTTATAAAATTGATCTCCAAAAAATGTAAAAGAACAATAATTTAGACTATTTTGAACAATTTAAGATGGAACCACCAAAGCTTAATTATAATCTGGTAGTATCCATGAGATTCCTCTCACAACGAGCATGAGTTCGCTTTTTTACTGTTCCGATTAAGTATATCTTTTATCTATTTCCGTTCCCTGGGCCTATTGTAATAGAAAATATGAAAACAATAATTTAAGATGGAAAGAATATTATATTTATGTATAAAATCAAACGTTATGAACGTACAATATGTAGTCATATTATGCGAATTCCCCAACGGTCCCAATAATGACATTTTATGCATATATGTATAAGAATATTCATTGAATGGGATTCTAGCTGCATGGTACTTTAGAACTTGGAGATTGTTGTGTCAAGTTAGATTGAAAGAGAAAAGTACTCTAGTCCTAGGAGACTAATAAGATCTTCAGAGTACAAAGATTTAAAATAACTAATTACCAATATTGTAAAATTGAATATCATATCATTCCTTAAATTTTCCAAAAATAATTATATAGGCTAATTTTTGTATTATTAGAAAAATTGAGAAAATGTCAGAAAAAATCAGTTAAAGAAAGAACTTTTGACTCCGCAAATATTATATATCATACAAACTGAGATAGGAGTAAGATTCTTTTCCATCACATAACATATGGCACTATGCAGTTTTGAAAAATCGATTATATAATTTTAACCAGATTTTAATATTTAGGAACATAAAAAATATATATAACTTGGCCGTTCCTTCTGTAATTTACAAATATAATTTGATCATTTTAAAGAAGATCCTTTCTGGGGGTTCTTTGTGACCATTTCGGTTGCTAGGAAGAATGCAGGCTTTAAATTAAGCCAATAGAACCAGTATTCACTCGTCATTCGTCACCCTCTAGAGTACTAAATTTGTGAAAAACATGTTTTGCAATATGCAGGGATAAAAGAAGCTACTTAAGTTGCATATATAAGGCTATGAATCAAATCCACAAATGTTAATATTGAATCCGCTGTTCTCAACTCCCCTTTAAAATCTGGGTAAGTCAAGAGGTACTTTGAAATGTTAAGAGGTGATTCTTAAGTTTGAAAACCAAGGAAGATCAAATTCTTAAGTGATTATCACATAGGAGCCTTCAAAGAGTTGATTGAGCTAGCGTTATGGCCATGGATTCCCAAATTTGTTTTGAAAAATCTGATTTGGTGAAGTTTGGTTTGAAGATAAAAATGTGTTTGGACATCAATTTTCAAAACATATTTCCCAAATTTATTTTGGAAAAACATGAAACTTGACCTATACCCACAAGTTCTAAAAACTATCACAAATACGCAACAGTACCATTATCAATAACATGTGGAAATAGCAGTCACGTGACGTGCACTATGTAGAAGAAGAAAGAGCTATTATTTGTCCTAATTAAGTCGGTTAGTGGTAGTTAGTTTGACAGCAAGATCACAGATGTCGTAGGAATTAGTTAGAGTTAGTTTTATTGTATATATATATGCACCTGAGATGTAAAGTCTTTTACTTAACACATTTTTACAGAATATTCCTTCTCTCTCAAAAGCTCTCTTCTCTGCTCTTTCGCCTCTAATGGCAGTTTCAGTTTAAACTCAAATCTTCACGTGGTATCAGAGCAATCAACTGCATTTTCGAGTTGATTTTGTAGATTCCTCAGAAGTCTTTGCTTCAATTACTCCTTTCGTTTTTCAATTGAGTTGCAGAACTGGAAAATTTAATAATGGCGAAAACAGATTTGGATCACAATCATCCACTGTTCCTTCATCCTTCGGACACAACGGGAGCTCCGATAATATCGATTCAATTGATCGGCTCAGAAAATTATACCACTTCGAGCGATGGAAATCTAGTTGCTTGGAAAAAATAAGTTAGGGTTAGTCGACGAAACTCTAAAAAGGG